CCCCAAAACCCCAAAACCCCAAAACCCCAAAACCCCAAAACCCCAAGGCACTTTTAGAGATTTGAATAGAGCCAGATAATTTAAATTATGGACTAATTACAGAAGCTAAGAATTTTCCTATGTTAATGTTGAAGTAGTTCAAATGATCTTCCACAGAGTTGTTGAACTGACTGTTCGAACATTCAGAGTCTTCACCTTCTTTTTCATCTCATCTCTTGAAATCTGCCCACTCATCGTTATACCATATTTCTTGAGATGAATGATAAGGGTAGAAAGACAACCAACCATCTTTTCTACAATTCCAGCTTAAATCAATAACACAAGGAGGAATATGAGCTACTAGGTCTTTATTATGGACGACTCTATAGAATCCTTCAACCTTGTCTATGAAGGAGTCCATAAACTGATGGTTTCCAACTCTAGGTTGTCCAAATGTATATCCATAAACTTTTCTTCCTTCACCAAGACCAAGCAGCATGAAATCTGCAAGTGCTTGAACTGCCATAGCTCCTCCTAGAGAGTGACCAGTGAATACAACGTCGTATCCTGGGTTTAACTTCAGAGCTTTCTTGATCTCTTCAAGGAAGTCATCTCTAAAATCTTCCACATACTTGGAATAGAAATATTTCATAACTTGGGCATCTTTCACTTCAGGATGAATATCATACTCTATTCCGTAAGATTGTAAAATCTCTTGTGCTAGTTGGCCGATATTCTTAGTACCAGAGAATGCAACATAAAGCATCTTGTCTTGATCCTTCCTCATAATAACCTTTGTGATCTTGTTAACATCTCTTCCATTTCCTTGAGAGTAGATTAATTTCATACCAAGCTCATTAGTTAATTTAGTAGCTTGTCCTCAGTCTCCAGTCGGGATTTTAGAAGCCTCACAATTAGACATGGCTGTGACATAAAAGACCTCTTTTGCAAACTGTTCATTATACTCTGCCTTAATTAGGACAGCAAGGAGCATCAGAAGAAACACTTTAATTTTCATCGTTAAATTATTCAAAATTTCAAACCTTTATAAATCTAACGGGGTTTTGGGGTTTTGGGGTTTTGGGGTTTTGGGGTTTTGGGG